TGTACTTGGAAACTCATCGTCGGATTCGAAATCTGCGAACAAATCCTCCAATTTGACCTCGGGTTTCGTAGCCGGTTTAGGTATTACCTCGCCTTGTACTCCAGCATCTGCCATGGTTATATCCTCATCATCGTTCAACTCGGCAGCCTGCGTGTTCGCAGAAGTATCATCTACTTCTTGATTTATTTGGGCATCGTTGCCATTCTCTTCGGTATTAGCCATGTTCTCTTGTGATTGTATCGCAGGTTCTTCGGGAGAAAAAATAGAGTGTGGCATATCGAGGTTCGTATTGTTGAGGTTCGTATACGTATTCGCAGTTCACATTCACATTCACAGTCTTTTGGTGGAAGTAACTTGGGACGAAAACCAATTTAAAATTCGACGCGTTTGACGCGATCAATGTCCATTTCGCAATTATGCGCTAAGATAAGCCGATAAGATCGATGAACCTCCAATTTGCTAGTGCCTTTCACTAGAACAATAAAACCCCGTTGAATTACTAAGCTATGTCCGACGAAATAACATCTCCTCATCGCAGATCCCTCTAACAACTTTAAGCGTTCTCAACTGTTACTTTAACACTATATCTTTCACCTCACACCTCCATTCTAGAGCTTCTCCATGCATGACTCCATGCAAATATGCTTCCCCAACCAATTCATAATATTTATCTTGACAAGGTCGAAGAATGAAAGGAACCGAAGCACCTGCCAAGAGCCAAACTTCATCAGACGGACATAGTGATTGTGCTCCGATACCGAGATATCCTTTATGAGTTCGGAACAAACTTCGTGCGTCGTTCGCAGCTTCGATTTCTTTCTCAAGGCGAGAGAAATCCTCCTTACTGTACTTGCGATGTTGCTTTTCCGTGATACTGAGTCGCTGCATAGAATACGCTGCTTGAGCTCCATTGCGCACCCATTCTTGATATTGTGCCATGAGCTCCTCACATCGTTGTGGAGCTGGATGTTCCTTTGAATATGTATCAGCGAGGACGGTGCGCCAGACTACTTCGCGTGAAGATTGAAACCTATCGATCCAAAAAATTAGGGGATTCATCTAGAACTTTGAGACGTTCGAAAAGCTTACTTGCCACCTATCGATAGAGGATAAATAGGATCGAGATGGGTTGCAACCTCATATACTCCATCCAAGAACTCCATCGGATGTAACGACTTATTCTGCTGTTTCACTTTCTCGCAGACCGTATCGAGTAATATACCCTGCACCTTCAAAATCATGGTCTCCGTCTCTGAGAAATCCTGTCGCCATCGCAAATCACCGCATGCATTCCAGGTACAGTCGCCACGCATTGATAAAGGTAGAGGTCTTCTTGGAACGCTATAATCCGGAACCCATGTTGGCAGGTTGGGTATAGACGCTACTGAATCCTGAACATCGGATAGTACTCCAAGACCACCACATTGGAGCAACACTTTAGCACTAGTGCTATACAAATCTTGGGCGGCAATCTCGTAATTGGGTGAAAGAGCATTGGGAAATCTTGTGAACGGAAGACTATCTTTTCTCGATAACCCCAGCAATCCATAAATCATGTCACGCTTATCAGAGACTTCGCAGTATCGGTGCGCGCGAAGAAGGTATCGAAATAATGGAAGTTGCTGAGTAGATTCGCTTCCGGCTCGAGTAGATTCAAGCTGTATGACTGCCATCTTAAAGCCAGTGTCTGAATCCAGTAGTATCTGGTGTTTCTTAAGACGTCTGCCAGGCTTCAATCCATCACCGGGGAAATTGGTCAAGTGGTTGGTGTGTAGCTCTTTATACCATCCTGTGTGAGTCAAGAAAGATAATGTCTTCGAAATCATTACCCAAGGAATAACATTCTTGCCGCAAGCAAGAATCATGTTATTTCCCAACGTGACCTCTTGTATAGCCCAAATACCAGAGAACCAGGGTCTATTAAAAAAGGCTATTAGGCTCAACCATGATCGCAGCTGCAAAGGCACAATGTTAAGCCTCTCGAAATATCCTCCTTGGCCGACCCAATCCAAATCACCCAAATTCGACCACTCATTACGTGGTATCGAAGATAATGCTTTGAGCGCTTCTAATGCATCAAGAGTAAAAGCGTCCTTCTTTCCTAGCCAGGCGATGACATTCCGAGCTTTCTTGAGGATATCTGGCATGATTGAGATTTGGGCTGTGCGGTCCATGGGATCCTCTGGATTGATGCACATTGAATCGATCCAAATGTATCGCATTTTCGGTTTTCCAGCCACTTTTGTACCAACGTTTCGGGCCGTCTTGACCGCGTTCTTTGCATCTCCACAAACCTTCAATTGTTTGCCATCACAAAGTATGATATGGTTCCGTGGAACAAGATCTCGCCGCGAATGGGATACAACATCAAAAGTCGGAGCTTCGTTAAGTTCCACGACATGGAATGAGTACTTGGTACAACCCAGTAGTTTTGGTTTGATCTCAAGAAGTCGGATGGAAGTGGGAGATGGAAGGATTGTATAGGTATATGGTTTATCGCTCGCATATCTCCGTCGTGGAAAGCCTATGAAGTTCATATTGCTTGAGGTTTCTCAGCGGTGGCACACGGGGAGATTGAATGTCTAAGCAATCGATGACAATTAAAAACATGTTCCAGGTAAAGAAGAAGAGGAATCAGATCAATCTCGCCAGCATATTTCGGGACTATCATCAGGGAAAGAGCAATCTCAGGCTCTCATATTTACTCCATCAACACCGAACTTGGAAAGAACAATCGGGCCCGGCCCTTGAGAACATGACTATCTCCTTCTTTCCGAGAATCGTGCAATTACATGAACGTATTGCTAAACCTGGATTTTGAAATGTTGTTATTGTAGACTAGGAAGTCCTTTAGACAAATTGTAAGCGCGATCTAGCATTGTTTGCTTGCTTTGATATATAGATGAGGTAAATCAATTTGTTTGATAGTCAAAAACAAAAAGTCCAATTTCCGTAACACGAACAATCCCTCTGAAGAGCAAACTAATATACATTATTCAGTTACTTTGGATCAACAGCAACATCTCCCCCGTCTTATTTATTTTGATCATCTTACCGTTCTGGGTATTACTGTATTACATCCTCATCTTTCCTGTCATGCGCTAAAAAGGGGCTCGCTAGTGCTTCCTATTAGGAACAAAAATCAAAAGACGAAGTTCTTCAGAATAGATAGGAACAGTTGAAAATGAGGTCAGAAAATGAAGAGGAATAGTCGGACTTGATATTATAACCAGAAAGGAGTACTTACTGTCCAATGCACGCAAAATATTGAAAAATACCAATTGAACTTTCTGACCTTTCATTCGTTCTAATGTGATAATATTGTAACCACCTAGGTTTTGGTGATAAGGGCACTCAAGTGATATACTGTAGCCCTATAATGTTACCAAAATAATTAAACTAACCTCTTCCCTTTCTTCTACCTTGTCTGTCAAAATCAAATTTCAACCAGTAGAAGCGAAATAGTTGAAAATAGAGGAACGAAGTGCAGTAATTAGGCAGAAGGAGCCAACCTCCCTATCTTTCTTTGTGCCTCACTGCATAAAGCCAAAATGTAGCTTTTGCATTAGATAATCTATAGGCGATAAAAGCAATAAAGCGACAGGACTCGGTCAACTTCGTAGCCCATCGTAACGTGCGCTGTGTGACTTCTATGTATGACACCTTGTTCGAATCATTTTTATTGGTATGTTTGTACTCTTTGAATATAAAGTATGCCCTGTCAATACAACCCCATTCTCCTGGATTAAAGAGTTCCGAAGAAGTGACCATTGCAAATTCGGGAGATGGTTAATTCACTGCATGAGGTTGGAATTGTTTGGGAGAATGATAATTTGCTTGTTCATAGTGATACGGATGATACTTGACTTATTAATTTTGAAGGTGGATGGATCTAAGATTGAGTAGATGAGGAGTTGATGGCAATGCTAAGAGGCTATGGACAAACAATTTAGAGAATCTCGAAGTTCTTAGCAGTCTGAGAATTGATGTAGTATTGTCACATCTTATCGTGTCCTTTCATATCTCTACTTTCTACTCTGCTGCCATCGATTATATTTGTTATTCGTTTATCACTCGCCGTGACTTGACCATGCCAATACGATATCAACCAGCAGTAACTCTACTCATACAGCCAAAGTACACGGGGTTGCCCAAGTTCCCACGGCTCTGAGAAACTTTGTATTACTAGCGCAGATAAAATTGAAGCTGGCGAGGATAACTTTCGGGTCATCAAAGGATCTACTCATTTGAAGTTTGCTGATATTATTACTAGGATTTTCGAGGCTACACAGTTCAGTTTCTGGAACACCAGGACAGAGATCATGTATCATCCAAGAGTGATGCCAAAGCTTATATCTAAATGCCAATGTTCTGAACGTCGACAGCCAATGTTGGTACAAAAGAATGTTAGAGTAGTAGGCCGATAAATGAATATCAAGATGCGTCTCGGAATACTGAGACCGCTAATCATTGCCTAAAACATTTTTCTTATTTTATATGAATATTGATATGAATTTTAAAACTAGTTGTGCACATCGTAATACTTGTATATTGGGGGGGGGGGGGGGGGGGGGGGTTATTTACACTCAAATACTCGAGCTAAATCCGACCCGAACTTACTTCAATGTGATCAGGTCCTCTCGCACAAGCAAGATTTAAATATTTTGACAATTCCGGGTTGGTACATAATATCATCATCAGTGGTCAACTCTGTATGATCTAGTGACAAATACATCGTACTCCGCGGATTGATTGATAATACGATGTGGGCCGACCCGCGGAACAGCGATCATTTGAGAGTTAAAAGTGGGACACAAACTTACATTTGTCATCTTACTTGAATTTTGGTACTCGAGTATATCATATCACAAAGCATCATCTATGTTTCTGAGTATATATATATAAACGTATGTATATAGATCAGTTATACCTTCAAGTCCCTTAGATTTTCTCAAAATAACACGACCCCATACCTGACACCTACGCATAATCTGATGACCATGTCACCCGGAAATCAAATCTTCCTCATTGGTCCAGGATTTATCGGCGGAGAAGTCCTAGATATTTTGCTTCAAGAAAGTTACGAAATTACGGTACTTGTTCGTCGACAAGCGGCTGCAGAGGAGCTTGAAAAACTTGGTGTCAAGACAGTGAAAGGATCTCTCGCCGACTCAGAAATCATCGCCAGACAGGCTTTCTTGAGCGACATTGTGATTCATACGGCGACCGCAGACGATCTTGTCTCAGTAGAAGCCGTCATCCAAGGTATCACTCGGCGCGTGGAAAATGGCAGTACCGCGATTTATATTCACACGAGTGGAGCGGGCCTGCTTGGTGATAATTCCGAGGGGTCCTTCGAAAGCCAAAACATCTTCGAGGACGATAAACCAGAAGAGATTGATGCAGTTTCTGATGAGGCACAACATCGTAAGATTGATCTAGCCATCGTCAATGCAAGCAGAAGTCTCGGGCCAAAAGCAAAGCTGGCTATCATGATACCTCCTCTTATTTATGGAGTTAGCTCCCGCGAAAAGCGACTATCAATCCAGCTACCTACTCTGATTCGATTTGCGATAAAGCATGGCTACTCTGGACACATTGGAAATGGCTTATCCAAGTGGTCACAAGTACATGTCCGCGATTTGGCAAGGGGATATGTGACGTTGCTGCACTCGCTTCAGAATAACCAGATGGACGTGCAGAATCCTTACTTCTTTTGTAGCAATGGGAAGGATCTTTCCTGGGCTGATTGCGCTGTGGAAATTGGCAAGATATTGTATCAGGAAGGCAAAATTGAGAGCCCTGAACCCAGAAGCATACCGCGGGAGTTGTACACCGACCTCTTTGGGCCAGACTCGTCAGTGGTAGTTGGTTCAAATTCAAGAATTCAAGCTAATCGATTGAGACATCTTGGGTGGGAGCCAAGAGAGAAAGGGACTCTCGCCTCCTTACTTGATGAAATTCCTATAACAATTCGGGAACAAGGACACTTTTCCGGGTATTCTGGATTTGTAGGTTCGGAAGCACAGCGGGACTGAAGCTTGGCACAGTCAAATGTTAGCTATCAGATATTAGAAGAGAATGATATATAGTACCGAGTCATGACTTCTTGAGGCATTCCTGTCTAATCAGGAATATGATCTTTCAAATTTGAGAGATCCGATTTCTCAATTCATATAATGAATAGCGCGAAAATGCTAACCCAGCCCAGGCCAAATTGTGATTACCCGCGAAGATTTGTATCATTATCATCAACTACCGACTATACTGATCTCATGATCACGCTAGATAAGAGTTGTCATTGCCAGTGAATGTAAAGACAGGGTACAAGATAACTTAGTTGCTTGATTGATTGCGGTCATGAAAATGGCAGACCTTTGTAAAGACATTCGCATTGGCAAGAAGTTCAGCAAACATGACGAACTCAAGCTGAGGCATGCCCGAAAAAAGATCGATGCGCAATTGGCCGAACGTCCTGAACTTACAAGCTTCCCAGGATTGTTCCACAAACGCATGTAGTCACCAAAGCAATCTGGGTAGCCAGGCAATCAACCAATCTTGTGATGAGAAAGCAATGCCTTTCAAGTCTCAACTGCTTTACCTACTAAGATTTATAGACAGGACTTCCTCCAACCGATATATAGTACTACCTTGTTACTTCTTTTCTATTTAAATGATATATTCTATCGCTAGCTTAGTATAGTGAGTCAAAAATCTGAGTGAATATAAAGCCATGTGCTCTATCCTCAATACTGCTATGGTTCTTCTGGTATATTCCTACGGTGTGTAGTCATGTGATACACTATTGCGACTCTACCGTACAGCAACCCTTTAATATATAAGGACCTCTCTCTCCTAGCTGGTTCCCTCCCTCCTACATCTAACACAGCACATTCAACTTGGTCAATAATATGAGTCCAACCATCTAATTATCAAGACAACTTTTCTTCATCTCATTTTCTAGTGTTCACATCGCCTTACAACCACCATCTCATTTAGAAAGAGACTCCTCTGGACACACCATTTACCGTCGATAGACTCTCCGATTATCTATTATTTTTCCAGATGACCGGCAATATCTTTGATAACCTCCCAATAGAGCTATTGGTTCAAATAGTCTCCAATCTAGATCGAGAAGATCTTCGAAATGTTCGATACGCGGATCGCAGAATCACCAATGCAGCTAAAAAGACATTCTTCAACACAGTGTTCATTTGTTCTAGTGGCATGAGTCTTACTAAGCTCTCACTTATCTCGAAGGATGAGAATATTCGAGGTTTGGTTCGATCAGTCTTCTATCATAGGAGATTTCCGTCTCAAATTCCTGTTCCTGGAGCTCTTGTAAGAAACGCAGGAAGCAAGAGGTAAGAGTAGACACATTTCTGTTTCCTCCTTAAGGGTGCTAGGCTCCACATTCGCTTATACACTATGTTGAAGTTCATTCAGGCTAATACACATTACAGCGCATTACTGATGGAATTGAACGTTTGGCTGGAAATGCTTCCCGAATCATTCGCAGACCCAAATTTCGAAGGTTACTCAACGCAGATGCTGGAGCAATTATACGAGAGGATGTACGACCACATGTCTCGCCAAGATCCGGTTCTTGGTAGTGACCATGAGAAAAATTGGTTGCGACGCGGGCTTGAATCTTTACACAATCTATCTAGTCTTCAAATTGGGGATGTTTATCGTCGAGACTATCCAGTCGACATCTCCCGGTATCGCGAACGAAAACTCATATCCATTCTATACGGTAGAGCGGGGCTACCAGGGATGGTACAGCCCGATATTCATCTGCATGGGCTCCTCACCATGGTATCAAGATTACCATTAAACCTCACGAGAATCTCATTGCCCATTTACTTTCAAGCTTGGTACATTAAATGGGATACCACGCCTCTATCTATGTTCCGCAACGTGGAAGAGTTCGATGCAAAAATTATCAGAGAGCGTGACGCGAGTCAAGACCCAACACTCGAAATTGTCCGACAGGTTTGGGACAGTATGCCGAAATTGAAGAAATTAAGCATATCTTTTCTTGGCCATGTCGGATGGCACGGTATGGGCAGGCCTTCGACATTTGGATTGATCATGAAACATCATCACTGGAAACACCTACAAGCAGTGCATTTCCACGATTTGGTTGCATTGCCTGTCGAGTTCAAAGACTTTCTGCGGGTACATTCGAGTACTCTACGAGGGCTCCACTTGTCCGGATATACATATTTCTCCGATGTATTCCTAGGGATTCACGATCTATCAGAAGATTCAGAGAGCGAGAAAAGATCAAAATTTGCATGGATAGATCTAATTATTTTTCTCGGTCTGGAAATGAATCTCAATAACCTTTCGTTGGAGGGAGACTTCACCACATGTGGAAATGAGACATGGACAACAGACTACAAGACTTGGGATTGGGTTACACCGCCTATTGTTCCAGACCCATCTCGACCAAGTTTGATCACTCGTATACATGATTTCGTTGTGCATCGAGGGGAGTGTCCTTTTCGCAGAAGATTTCCCATATCTCAAGAGTTCAAGAATTGGCACCCATTTTCAGAATGGGAATACGATGCAGATAGATCATGGTGCTTCCAAAAAAATGATCCCCTTACTTTCCAAAATTCAGACGATCCTGACTATCGCGAATTAGTGGAGTTGAGTTGAGTCGGTATTGGGTTTTAGCAAGGAAAACAGAGAAAGATGAATGGAATGCGAAGCTGGGGTTATGTATCAAAGTGTATGTTACCTTCAGTTAATTAGTTGAATCCAGCTATGGTCAGGACATCTTCAAGCCAGCTCAAAGATCTTGTGGGTTTCCTATAATTTCAAGAATATTGAATACAACCATTTCGTCCATATCTTTCGTCCATATCTACTTGTTAATGGAGCGTATTTGTCTTCCCGTGGCTTAGGGTAGCTAGTTTGCCTCTACCTTAATAAGTATAATGCATGGCCTACGTTCTCTCTCTTCTTGTAATGGATTTCGTAAGTTATTCGTATGATTGGCTTAGCGAGGAAACTAATAGAAAGCTGTTTTTATCTCAACGTCTCTCTTCTTAGGGCTATGTGCCTGTGAATATAAACATTAATTGATGAGGCTTTGATACAAGTCTCTGGCTAATTCATCGAGGTTCCTGGGACTTGTCTTCCCAGTGCAACTTCTCTGTCCGTCGGAATTTAGAAAAAGAATAAATCAGCTGATCATTCTAGAAGGCTAGACTGATCCCTCATAGCTACTAATTCAATATCTACCGAGGCCTGCCCTCACAACTAACCACCCAACACCCCCTCATTCCAAAGACACCCTCTCCAAACGCCCCCTCGCCATACCCCCAACCTCCCCATCCATAACCCCACACACAAACGCCTCCCCCACCAACCGTCTTCTCAAATCCCCACCTCCCTTCGCACCTTCCTTCGCACCCTCCACCCCCCTCAAAACCATCGGGATCCTCGACCCGGCCACAATCCAAACCTCATTTCCCATCTCCATCTGCTTACCCATCTGCATATCCACCGACTGAGCCACCACCCCCCAAAACCCCTTCCCCGTCCTAAACAATCTCCTCCCCGCATACGCCACCCTAAACGCCTCATAAAAATCCCCATAGTCCTCATCCAATTTTATTTTTTTCGATATTACTCAGATCTTCCTCTGCGGCTATTTCAATCAAATGCTCGAGATGGGTCCAGGTGGGTATTAAGTCATTGTTGAGCGCATGTTGCGATAACGTATTGATGGATTGTTTAGTTGCGTTATAAATTTTCTGGAGATGGGGTAAATCGGGAGTTTGGTGGGATAGTGCGTAGTGGTATGCATTACTCAATTCAGAAACGCGTACTGCGATAAAATATTGGAAAGCATGGCGAGCATCTTCGCCAGCGGGTAGTTTTCGAAAAGTATCTTTGATGAGCGTTCGCCAGAAAGCTTCGAAATGTGTTTGCGTGGGTCCATCACCATCAACATGAGGATATTCTTGATTTGAATAGTTGGCTAGTAGTTCGAGCACAGTGTTGAATCCGAAATCATCTCCCATGATTCCTGCTTGAGTGGCTGCGTATTCGGAGATAGTATCGAGTTTATAAGCGGTGATGGGAAGAAGATGTCGAGTTTCTGATGGCGGGAGAGCTGGTACTTCAAAGGGGAAACCTTGACTTGCATTCCATCTCTCACTTCCCCTTTGAGGTCTAGGATTTCCTGCCAGCGGTTGCGGATTAGATGAGGAGCTAAAGTCCGGTACCCAAGATGGGATATTCCCAATAGCTCGAACGGATTTGGGGTTCTGAGTCGCGAGCGAGTAATCCTCGACTAGAGAAAGGATATTCAGATCTTTGGTTTCGAATATAATTTCCCAAGCCGCTCTTGTATAAACACTAGCCGTCGTTGGATCATTCTTATAATCTGGCGTCATATCGAGCGGGATTATCTTCCCCCCCTTTTCCCAGATACCTCTGATTGCATAGATTTTATCCTTCGGATTCGTCGCCTCGAAAAATCTCGAATAATATAACAACTTCTCCAGATCCAATAACCTCCCCATCTCTTCCGTCCCTAGTATAGCCATCTCTCTTATACGTTGATAAATCGATTGGTTATTCAAAGTATTATTCACATAAACCGTTCCCTCAACATCATCCACCGATTCAATCAACAACTGCATCAACAATGTCCCCAAACCCGTTTCCCTAAGAATCTTCGCACAAGCGGTTATATCATCCCATTCAATAACATCGCTCCCACAAACCACCACGACTTTCGGCGGCAAAAATGCTTCTTGAACTACCCATATCCGACTGAACCACGTGCGTTGCAAAAACGCTGCATATTCCAACCATCTCCAATTCTCCACCTCTTCAATACCCAATTTCGGATAAACATCCCAATCTTCCAGATCCGTGATTTGCAATCCAGAATATTTGCTCTCGGGGATCTTAGAAAGAACATTCATAACTTCAATCGCATACGGAGAATGAAAATCCGCGACCCCGAGCCAGATAATCACCTGTGAGCATTTCGAATATACCTCTCCCATCATACCTACCTGTATATTCCTCTCCTCAATACTATCCTGATTAACACATATCCCATCTATCCAAATCAACCGCTCCTTTTTGAATTTACTCCCTTGTTTCCCCTCCTCATCATTGTCTTTACTAAATTCCCTAAGAGCACACAACAAACTTTCCGTAATCAACAAACTCTGTCCATTACAGAGAATAGGATGTTCGCGTCTATCATTAGAGCGATGGATTTCGTCTTCTGGGCTGAGAGCGTGGTAGAGAGGGTCGGACCAGGTGTAGGAGAGACAATCGTATGGGGGTGGGGATTGAAGGTTTACCTCTTGCAGTGTTAAACGGATTGGTTCGTTGGGACCGGAATCTAGATGCATGAGGCGGATATAGGGGGCGGGGAGGACGGAGGGATATATTGGGGTGAGTGGCATGATAAAAATATGGAAGGGTGTTTGTGTGAGGAAGATGGGTGTGTGGCGAGGGTGTTCGAAATAGGATGAATTAAGAGATGGTTGGTTGAGATGAAATCCTGCTCGTGTCAAAAAGGCTGGGTGAGTCTGGAATATATATGTCGTGAGAAGCTATTCTGAAATCATAAAGCTAGGCAGGAAGCATACAGGGCTAGAGCGCTTGAGCTCTCATTGCTAACGTTAGAAGAATGGGATGAAGTCAGCTCTGTACCCCACTGCCAGATAACGATTATTTTGAACACACCGAGTACTTCGATTATTATACTATACACCTAATTTCATAACTACTATCCAAAAAAAACTATGTTTTTTGACTTCATTTTATTTATTTATATAAAAAATTTACATTTCAATTATTTATAATTTTATCTGGTTTTATCAATATTTCAATTTTGAAAAATCTTTTTATAGAATCTTATTATCAATTGAAGAAATATATATATATATCAACAAAATTTCAGATTTGAAGTTATATTGATGAAATAATACTGAATTAAACTTTGAAATTTGTGATTACTAAGGTAAAATATCATAAGATCAAAAATCGAGTTTTTTTGGATAGTAGTTATGAAATTAGGTGTAAAGATTGCTACAGTGGCATCATTCCCGTGGCTAAATCTCATAGTACTAGACACCCTCGTGGACTATATTGTTCTTGGGCTCAAGTCAAAATTGAATGATCATGAAGCTATTTAACATCGTACAAGTAGTAAATTCAATCGTTCCATGGTTGAACTTCTCCAATATACCAATTCCCCGACCATTTATCATGCATTATGCTCATCGCTATCCCACAAATGAAATACAAATGCAGTATACACGGAACCAAAACAAGTCAGAACAAAACGCCCAAAGACCCCTAAGTTTTTCATCCATGACTCCTTATTCTGTTAACCTTATTTATCATTATATCCATCATTACATCCATCATTTGTATCCATCATTGACCCGATTATTTTTCACAATCAGGACACTGATTAACATTAATCGTTTTTAACTTCGTCTGACTTGCTTCACATTTCGTCGCACTTCCCGTCGGTGGACAAACGTTTTTGTGAAGATGCTGATGCCCCAACGTCCCATTTGTACTATGTACCATACACTTGGTTTTGGTACTGGGACATTGTCTTCCTGCTTGAGGGCATTGATTCAGACACTGAGATACAGCTTTACCACCACCACACGATGGGGTGCTGACGCAAAGTTTTCCACCCTTGCAATCTGCGTTTTTTTTGCATTTTATGACTTTGGTTGATGCGAGTGCATTACGAGCGGAGCCCTGGTTGATGTCTGGCAGGCCATTGTTGAGTCCTTGCAGGATAAAATTTGCAATAGGGGAGGTGGTGAGTTGGGAGAGATAATTAGTAATATTATTAGGGTTAGCAACAAGACCGCCGGATGAAGGACCGACGAAATCAGTTGAGTTTCGAGATGCGGATGAATATCCAGTTGAGCCCTTAACACAGAGACTAGAGTTCTTCCAGATGGCATCGGCGGCGTATTGCCATAGATTGGTATAATTATAAACGGTTTGTGGAGTGTAGTAAATGCGACAATCCGCAGCTTCATAGGCGAATTGTAGTGGGATATCTTCGTTTTTGCGAATTTGATCACGGAGATTAATATCCGCATAGTAGACAAATACACTCAGTTGCTCCGTTCTATTTGGAAGGAATGTCGCATCCGGTGAACCTTGCTCTTGCAAAATTCGTTGCGCGAAATCAATGTTGGCATCAAGAGTAGAAGCATCGTAGTCACGTGCACCACGACTCCCTGAAGGCGCTTGCATTGGTCCTGGTGACGGATTACCGCCTACTGCTACGACTTTAACACCAGCCTCATGGTGGAGCATTTCAATGAATAGACTGCACGAAGAATGGCATATACCATCAGAGAGCTGCCGGAATTAGATGATGTTTAGACCGTGGAGTGAAGGGACTTACAATTATAATATCTTCTGCTGCAAAAGGTGGCTGCTGAGCTCCAGACGGTGCAGGATTAGCATCATAGCCGTAAACTGCAAAAGAGTCATCGCTAATATCTAGACCAGTACCCGATGCATCAAAAATGGCATTAGATAAATTATATCGTTGCTAATCATACTCGTTAGATCTATTTTTGAGGGGACAACATAGCAACCAAAGTGACATGGACTTACAATATGAGTGAAATTGTCACCATTGTGTAAGTTAGGTCCAAAAAACTGCGCCCAGTCTGTGAAGTTGTGATTCGTATCCGCATTGATATGATTAGTGACAACCCATTCATCAGCGGCTAGCATATACTTTGTCTCATCGTCTTCGGCCAAATCATCCCAGTACGGGGTTAAAGTTTTACCAAGTACATCAGCAGAAGCATGGGCCCGCATGCGAGAACCGGCAAATGGGTCGATATTCGGGAAAAAGTGCTTGAATGTATCAATTGCTAGTAAGGCTTGGCCGCCATAATTTTGTTGAAGATCAATTACGACCTTTTTGATACCGGCTGCCTGTGTCTGATTGATAAATTGGACAATCGTTTGTTGGAAGCTGAAAACTGCATCCCCATCAACGTCGAAGCTGGGAATGCTCAAAACGGCAGTAGACGAAGAATTCAGGAAGTAACCTGTGCTTTCGTTAGAAATCATGTATCCAAGTAAAGTAAAAAAAACCACCCGAATCCACGAGTTTTTGTAGGTAACTTACCAGAAACATATCCATCGCCAAATGTTCCAAGATCTTCCTGGGAAATATCAGGTATAGCAGGGTAGGCCTGATTGTCCCACCCAGTCGGAATTGGTGTAGAAATGGCCGTGGCTGTAGCTGAATTGGTGGCAGATGCAATCGAAGAACTATCCTCTGAATCATCCTCAGAATCATCCTCCGAATCATAATCATCATACGGATCGTATGAGGCAGGATAAAACCCCAAGACGAAGAAATTGTAAAAGTCACCTCCGGTCTCAAGAGGACCTGTTGGGCCGTCACTATCGTAGATTGCGAGATAATTTTCTGTCCAAGACGTCCCATTTTCCAGTACGAAAGTAATTTTGTCGCCAGGGTAGAAAGTCGCACCCCCGCTGAAGACATTGAAGAATCCTTGAATATCTTGAGCCGCACTGAGCATCAACTGATTCCAATCTGCATGAGCCTCAAGTGTGCCTACTGAATTTAACGATGCGAAATTTGAAAGATAAGTTGTAGCATCTTGACCGTTGATTGACTTGATGGCGGAAGGTTGGAACGATGTGAAAAAGTCACTTTCGAAAAGATCATCGGCAAGGTAAGCCTTTGGAGCTTGCTGGCCATCCAATGATAGCGAGACCACATCTCTTGGACTTGCGAAACTGAAGGCGGACAATGCTCCTGCTAACATATCGACATGGCCATCGTGCGCAGCGTAAATCAAAGTCTGTAAAGCAGCCTCGAACTCGTATTGATTTGCGAAGATCCCCTCGTCTATCGCGGTTTGAATTCGATTTAATCCAGCTATTAGGTCCACAGCGGGCTGCTGATAGCTTGTGGGTGGATTTTTCAAATATGACAATGTGCTCTGAAATTGAAGGGTATCGTTATAATATGAGACAAAACGAGAGGCGACAGCAGCATTAAAAGGTACGCTGGTAAGGCATTCATAAGCCAGACTTGCATTGAATACAACCGTATCTATTCTTTTATCAGCGGAGATACTAGTTGAATGTTGCTATCTTTAATACCCTCATTATTAACAATATAACCGCAAGCCGTTGAAGCAGAGTTCCGAGCACTCAGGGTCGCGGTACTAGCAGGTGTGGGAGTTGCGTTCACACCCAGAGTAAGACAAAGAAAAGGTAACAACTTGGTACACTGGAAAGCCCGCATATTGCTGTGGTAGCCAATAACTTAAAAAATGATTGAATTGTAAAGACTGGCGCTACCTCGTGACTTTCCACGGCTGGGACGAAGAATTGATATATAAGATTCTTGTTGCAGAATAGGAGTGGGGATTTACTCTGCGGCTGACATTGCAAGGCAGTGTTATGTCAGAGAAGGATCAATGGCCCATTAAGCGTAATTAAATTGGTGCGGCGTAACAAACGATATGTCTCTTGTGGTTGGTTCTAGGGCTCAGGGTCCCCCTGTGATAGGTCAGCAGCAAGGGGGCAGCATCCCACTTTGGACACAATAATTAAGCTTCTCCACACCTCGAGGCTCTCTAGATATCGTGGCAATCTATTTAAGAACTTATCATGTCAGCCTACGACACGTGAGATGCACAGTATTGGGTCGTAAACTGATAGTATCAGATTGTGGTACCGATGATGGGATAGTTTTGACTAAACATGGTCACAGCCGGTCTCGGGTATTCCCACGACAAGAAAAGAAAGCCAGTTGATATCAGCACTAGTATGGTGTATGCAACATCTAAGTAATCGATACCTTGTATCATTGTGATTCGATCTTGATCCAGAACACATTTTAAAGGATGAATATAATAGGAAGAAGAACGAGAGATGAACTTATCTCGGAAAGAGTCAAGGGGGCTATTCAAAGTTCTGTCAGACTGGTCTGACACAGTGACAAGGCTATTGAGAACTTCTCAAACTCGTTTTAAAGTCGGATGACTGAGCGTTGTACAACAATGTGTGTTAAATCGCGAAAAGCGGCGGTTAATTATTTAATCAAGGTGCAGCCATGATCAAGCCATCAAAGACGCCGGAGAGGTCTACTAAGGATTACTGATCCTTTCTCGTGGTACGGAACATGTAAGGCTAGATCAAATATCTTCTTACGCTCTCATTGGGTTCAGAAGTGGAAAGTGCCTTACCAATTATATTTCAAGGGAGGCGGAGACTAACCCAAGTTGAATTGCCTTCTCTCTCTCAACCACAATATACCCTCAGGACCCGTGTAAACCGTAAGATTATATCACCTGGTCCTCGGCCACCCTTGTCACATTTTTGGCATCGTTCATTCGAAGGCAGCATAAGGTATTGCATACCAGTACTTATACTTCTAAGCTTGACCTCAACTAGAACATTTTGGGGAGAGATGTTGATATAAAAGATATTGTGTGACCTTCGAGGATTTGATGGGGGGAAAAAAGAAGTTTATGCTTGTTTGTCATCTTCGATAAGATTCAAGAGATAATCGCAATCACGTGATCATAAACTACCTTCCTTTTTGAGAAACTTCATCTTGTATCTTGTTCCCTCATATTTGCCCAATCAATCATTCTCCATGGATGAATTGACGCGTTGCACAAGAGAATCTTTATCTGTCATTGGGTATCTTTTACCTCAAGTACTTGGCTGCTGCCTATGTTTTATATACGTAAACTTCTCTAGGATCAAATAGAGCGATGATGACATCGAACTCACGTTTTCCATCTTGCTTACCCACTTGAACACGACAACATACATTTCATTTCTCCTGTCATCCATCTCTTTTTCATATTCAAGTCAAATATCACATACAATGAAGTAATTCAATTGGCTTTTCTCTCAATCCTTTTACGGCTCAGAATTCAGAGTTGGTGATAATCATCAGCGGCAGTGATGCCTTACTCGGATAATCTATACAGAGCAATTGATGATTCGGGGAACAATCGGGACGGAGAAGACAGTGATGAGCTTAGCCCAATCGATGGCTATTTCAATTCAAATCAAATACCTCAAGATATGATACCAGATCCCACACTCTCACAAGAGGATAATTTAAAAGCGCGGAAGGCTAGGGAGGAGTCTCCGAGAGATGGTGAGATTTCTTCAACCCGGCAGATGTCGTCGTACATCAATTTGTCAGCTCATGCAACTGAGAATTCTCGAACCTCTTTACATTCGTTTCCTGCATCGTCACACCGTAGGAGAGACGAATCATTCTCTCAACATCAACCCTTCTTCGATCAACCTCCGCCGGCTTATATAGCCTCTGCAGAATCTTCTCCTGTCTCGGTACAAGGACAGCACACTCACACGAACTACAATACATTCTCACAACATCGACTTGAAGAAGGCCGGTCAAGAGAACCTCAGAGTATGGGAAGGCCAGGCGGTAATCCTGAAATGAATGGGAGAACTCCCCTCTGGCTATACCGGACACCAAAAAAGATTCCCTTTCAAAAAAAGATAATAACCAAAGTTCTTGGAGTCGGTCTGGTTCTTACGATCGTTGCTGCTTTTTTGAGTACAGTCTTTGTGAGAAGATCAGTGAGTATATTCTCTAGACGAACCATTCCTGTCTTGCAGGCATGTCCATGCAGCGCTGCCTATATACTGTGTTCTTTTCTCTATATTCTTCAAATGTGATAAACATCAAATATTATGTGTCTTGTTCAAAATCTAATCATCACACAAGATTCCTAATCCCAATATGGGAGGAGGATCTAGATTTTCAAGCCCCATTCATAATGGTGGCCCCTACTGTCAACATATATCCAAATCGGAACAAACCACGTTTGAGATTCCAAATGTCGCTGGAATAAAAGTACTACAAGACTTCTACAAACAAGATTTACCGCATGACGGGCGAGAATTGAATCATGTCACAACTGCAGGCGAAGTTCGAATTCGAAATCTTCCAAGCAGTTCAAAGAAAGGAAAAGCACATTTCACGGTTGACGTCAAACTTAGCGATCCAGAATATTCTGTGGTAAAGACCTGGAATGAGGATGATGGGACACTGAAGATCAGTACGCCACGGTTTGCACCTCCAGGTACCAGTGAAAATCCTTGTATCTCAATTGAGGTTACTGCTTGGGTGCCAGAAGATGTCGAGATTCCAAATGTGTTTTTTGACTTGGTAACACTATCGATTCGATTATTCCTTGAGACCAATATCAAGGTTGCCGGCGACACTGTACTGAAAACAGTGTCAGGGGATGTTCATTTTCCAAAACATTCCCATCTGTCTACCGGTTATACTCCCATCACTGCAGCCGAGTTTCAATCACAAAGAAACTTCGAATTCGATTCTCGCAGTATCATTGTTGAAACTGTCTCGGGCAGAATCGAGGGTACTTATCCCCTCTATGACCTACTAAGACTATCATCCCAATCTGGAACGATCGGGGTCGACATATACCCTAAACCTGTCCTCAGATTGGCACCTGCTCCCGCTACTCTTGATATCCATACCTCTTCAGGTAGAATCGAAGTACAATCACCCGTTAAGATACCACAAGCCATCTTTCCTCGAGAATATATCACACGTGTAGAATCTATTTCTGGGGCTATCCAAGGTGACTTCTTCGTTGGCTCTACGGGGATTTTCAAAACAAGCTCTAGTAGGATTCAACTTGTGGTGAAACCGGTCTTACCGACAACTTCTGATAATGATGATGATGATGATGATGATGATGATGATGATGTGAAGATAGATGAATTTTCTACTTATTCAATCAGTGGAAGTACACATGTTACATTACTTGATCCTCTATTTATTTTACCTTCCGCCATTGATTACACTCACGAGAATCCAATTGACCACTACTCCACACCCTCTTCTGGTCTCACCACCCTGTCCAGTACATCTCCCATCCAACCCTACAAAAGCCTCCTCCACACCTTCCACTCTACCCACAAAACAACCTCCGGTCGAATAGAGGCATACTATCCCTCATCTTGGATCGGCAATATCCTAGCAAAAACCATCTCCGGAAGAATAGAAATGGAAGGAAAGGGAATACAGATTGTGGAGAGGAATGATAGTTGGGGTTTCAAGAGGATTAAAGCGAGGAAGGGAGTGGATAGGGATGAGGATGGGGGTAGTGTGGTGTTGGAGACGGTAAATGGGGCGATTGCACTTAGGATTGCTGAGGGGTTGTGAGGATGTGGTGGTGATGAGGTGATGATGATGATGATGATGATGATGATTATTATTATTATTATTATTTTTATTATGAGGAACTGAGGGGTTAGGATTGATATTCGGATGGATATAATGAAACAATTGGGACATTTAATGAAGTTACGATAGGGGAGGGCTGGGATAGGATACACGATAATGTTAGGTTTGGGATATATTTGGATAGATATAATATACATATACTCAGAGTACAACAACAACACTTTTGCACATGTGATCAAAGTAAAGCCAAAAATTCACAATGGGTGAGGCTTCTTCCTCATGTTTGGTACTTTCATTCAAGACTATTCTCTAGATCATATTTCTTATTTCTACTTTAATGCCACTTAATACAAAACTTTGAAATGACTATCCGAGATCAGTTCTTAGAACCCCAATATTTATACTCAGTATTACTTGTCTCCTGCACTTCTTTGTTTGGTATTTTGGTGTTTTGGTGTTGAGTTTCTCTAATATTCACGTTATTAATACAGTACTAATATTAATACTAGTATCAACACAATCAATACTGGTTGGTATACAACGTTCTGATAATATTCTAATATTTCTATTTCTACTCGAGTACCGATATCTCGGTATCTCGAGTATAATAGAAAACATCCCTCTCTAACTCTATCTCCATCTCCACTTTTACATATAATTTACGAGTACGTACTCGAGTATAGGGGAATAATAGAGATTTATAGTTGGGATCTACTCGTACTGTGATGAATTGTTCTAGCTTTCTATTCTACTTCTTCCAAACCCGCCTTTTAAAACCTTCTGGTGGATTATGAGTTTACTACCGAAAGTTATGGACCACAGCACAGTACCTACTACTCGAGTACTTGAGTATATAGTTAAAGTCTGCTATCCCAAGTATTCTATCAATCAATCAATCACCATATCGCATCATATCGTATTATATCATATCGTACTCGGAAACCCGAATAGATCTACAGTAGATAGGTAGATTAATTAGTAGGGTTTAATATAAACTAGCTAAAACCCTAAAACACTATTCAGGGGTACCCCACATATATGCTTGGTTGCCACTAAGATTACCTCGTGTTTTCTATGTACCCGGTACTCGAGTATGTATATATATATGTGTACTCGACTATGTTTTAGGAATATAAATAAGTAAATAGAGATTTGTGTTTATGTATCATTGCAGAATAGATACTGACGGACTTTTCTTCATATATATATCAGTACTCGAATAGCAATTGATTTATTACTTGGTTATAAAGTCTCAACTCATACCAGCCGGTACTTTGTGTATAAGTATAGTAGAGAAAAGTTTCTCCTTTGATATACTCGAGTACTCGAGTATTTATTTCTGTCTTTTCTTAGGAATTGGCCCGGTGGGAAGTGTATATTGGTATATATATACGTATCATATTCATATATATTGTGGAGTATACTCGAGTAGATTGTTTGCCTTTCTTTTAACATCTCAGTCATTCACTGGCACAGAGGCGTTGGATATTTGGACTTAGAAAAGCGATTGGGTGAAGAAATTATATTATATTAGTGGAGAGTGGAGAATTCTTAGTCTGTTTTATTCTCTTCTCTTTAGTTTGCTGAAAAAGTAGTCGAGGAAAGATTTGGTTTTTGGTTTTTGGTTTTCCTCTCATTTATATATTTTTCTTGAGGATTTGGATCTTAATTGTATAAGTCGTTTTGGAACTTCGTTAGGCATTTATAGATCGAACTATTCTTGTATATTTACATATTATATATATATTCTCTCCATGCTCCATGTAAGTCCTTACTCCCAATTCCCCCTGACATTCTTTTTTGGTTCTCCGCTTATTCAAATTCAGTATCTACAATCCATTCAAGCACAATCGATCATCCATTCATAATGGTTTCACCTCCAAACCCTGAGTTGGATTCTCAATCCGGCGTCCAAAAGATAATCTCTTGCCGGACCTCCTCATCAACATCACAACCCCAAACCCCTCCCTCAGGACCCTACTGGCACCCCAACTTCACCACCTCCATAACGCCCATCAACTGCTGGTCCCACAACGACGAGCATCAACCTATCCCCCTCTATACCGCTCTCGCCGCAGGCTGCATAGCCATTGAAGCCGACTGTTTCACCCCCTCCCACCATCCCTCCTCTCACTTCCCCGCCTCCCTATTCTCCTATTTCTCCTCTATACCCAAACCACCCCTCCCCACCAACGACCTCCTCGTCGGCCACGCCACCTCCGAACTGCAGCTTTCAAAAACCCTCTCAACACTCTACCTCACCCCCCTCCTCGAAATCCTCACTCTTCAAAACAGCGCCGCCGGCAACCCCACCCCAAAAGTCGGAGTTTGGAACGAAAATCCCCATTTATCCCTTCACCTAACCATCGACTATAAAACCATCTCTTCAGGTCACGCCGGAATATCCATTCTCTATTCCCTTCTTACTCCTCTCCGAGACGCTGGTTTCCTCACATACTACGATACGCATCTTGAGAAAATGATTTCTGGGCCCTTGACTATTGTCGGGACTGGCGATGCTGATTTCGATTTAATATGCGAATACGAGCGAGTAGAAATCTTCAAGGATTGTCGATTTAATAATTTCTTGTCGAGTCAGAATCGGACGAATTCACTGTATGTGAGTGCGAAATTGGGGGGATCGATTGGATCGTTTGGGGTGGGGAGAGGAAAGGGGCCGTCGAGGGAACAGGTTGCGGTTATTAGGAAGGAGTGTGGGGAGGTGAGGGAGAGGGGATTGATTCCGAGGTATTGGGGGACCCCGGATGAGGAGGAGTGGTGGAGGGTGTTGGTGGAGAGTGGGGTGGAGGTGTTGAATTGTGATGATTTGGAACGAGGGGGGAGGTGGTTGAGGGGGTGTGTGGTTGATGGGGTGGGGGTGGGAGCGGTTTGGAAGGAGGGGATTAAGGAGGGAGAGGAGGAGGGATGGGAAAGTGTGGGTGGGGGTGTGTTTGGGGGGTGTATTGTATTGTGAAATGAATGAGGGGAACTTGTTAGTCTGAGTGGTGTAATAATTATATGGAGAAGGTTAGATTAGATGGGTATTAAATGAATAGACTACCGGTATAGCAACTACCGGACTTGGGGTAACTGCGGCTTCTATATATATATAAATAGATATTTTTTTCTTTGAGTTTTCTTCTAGAATATACCTAGATAGATAGATCTAAGTTTACTCGAGTACATTATATATAATATTATAATAAATCCCCAAACAATACTAGTAGAAGAACTCTGAAAAAATAAATGTAGTAACATTACAAAAATAAAACACAACTTGAATACAGCTTGAAATTGGAAGATTGAAATACTATCTCTCAAACTATCTCTAGGCTCTCCAACTAAATAACGCTCTAACTATCTCCAACTACTAGTATCTCCAAAGCATTTCCCAACTTGCCAATAGTAGGGATATATAATAAACTTAGACTCGGACTCGGACTCAAATATCTTCCAATAAATTATTATAGTACAGTAGTATAGCTTATTAGCGATCTGAGTTAATCTGATCTTACTGTATCTAATCTGATCTGATCTAATCTAATCTTAGGATATTTGACGAACATTTCTAAGAGTGGGTGATAGTAGTAGTATAGTGATGTAATGTAATGTAATATGAGATGAGATGAGTACCCTCCCTCATCAAAGAAAAAAAAAGCACAAATTTCAACTTTAACTGAACCCTCTCCAAAGTTCCAAACTAAATCATAAAAAGTAGCCCAACTCCCCCTCCCTTCAAGTTCCCTTTTATAAATTATAGATTCCTCTCCTCCTCCTCCCCTATCTTCCTTCTCCTCTTGTCCTTTTCCTTCTCCTCCCCTCTTGCGGACACCTAACCATCCTATCCTATTCCATTCCATCCCATCTGATATTCTATCCCATCTCATCCAATGTAATCTTACATTGTACATACCATCCAATCAATATCCAACCATCTAAATGAAACCCGCTTAACATCGAACCGTTTCTTTCCCTTTCCCTTTCCCCCTTTCATTTCCCCCTTTCATTGCCCCCTTTCCCTTACTCTTTCCCTTCCTCTTTCCTTCCTCTTCCCTTTCCTTTCCATTTCCCTTCCAAGCCAATTACTAATATCTTCAATTCAATTCAATTCAATTCAGTCCAATCCACACGAATTCCAACACCCATACAAAAAACATTTAAAAAGGCAAAGTACTCGAGTACAGATCTGTCCATCTATCCCCTTTTACATACCATACCAAACCACACCATGACTGACTAACTGACTGAATAACTAAATGATTGACTAACTGCAGCACACCTACAATATAAAGTAAATCAACACACACAACACACACATACACATACACACAGAAGTGACTCTACTATACTCATTTCTCCATCCAAACCTCTCCCTCCAAACCTTTTAATTATCTCATATCACATCATATTACATCACATCATCATCTCACAACTCACATCATCTCATATGTATCAACTCAATCCATTCATTTCATTCTCTCCCCTTCCCAACGCTATACTTGTATATACTACATCCATCCCACCTAACCCTCCCACTTAATCCTCACTCTGAACCATCATCAAACCCAAAATGAATTGATAACTCAGCTCAGCCCAGCCCAGCCTAGCTCCAAATAGCCTTTCATTCTAATTCGCATAACCGACCAGACCAATTTAATCCTTAGTGACTTGGCTTGGTGTAACAGCGTATGTAGGTCTGACGTATCTATATCATTAACAAGTATTATTAGCATCGTTCTAAACCTCTCCCTTCATCACCTTCCCTTCCCTTCATTACACCCCACCCCTCCTTCATATCTATGCACTCCATCTTCCTTCCCCTCTCCTCACCCTTCCTCTCCTCTCCTCCCCACCCTACTCTACTCTAAAAAAAACAAAAGAATACACAACACATACCTATCACTATTATACGCACTAGTCTCCGTACCCAACAATTCCTTCTCCCTCTTCAAATCCGCCCAATGTCTTCTCACCAAATCACGATCGGTTTCCGCCGTCATCACGGGGATGAGATGAATTCTAGACCACATCTTTTCACGGGCGAGTTCACTATTTATTTTGTCAGTAATCATCCATTTATATAACATATCTAAACCTTCATATTCAATCATCCTTGATATATTCAACTTATCCTCCCCAAAGAATATCTGAAAGACGTGCCCGAAAACTGAGGGTAAAACAAAAACCAAACAAAAAACAAAAAAGAAAACTCACTTCTGTTCTCTAATTCCCTTTCCAACTTTCCAAAATCCATATGTCATTACACCAGCCATAGCCAAAAGCATAACCGAGGGTCTGAAACCGCGTGCTGGAAGATTTCTCTATTAATTTGTAAAATATGGTTAGCCTTGTATTCTTGTGTGTGTATATCTTTTTCTCTCTTGTCAACCGTCTATCTCTGTATGGTATGTCGTGGAAGCTATTCATGAGCTGAGTGGGGTATTGTAGTATCGTGAGCGTATCGTCGGGAGCGTATCGTCGGGAGCGTATAGTCATCGTATGCGTATCCATCTTCCCCTCTCTTCCCCTCTGATCTCATCCCTAGTAAATCTCGCAGTCTGATACTACCAATCCGACGGTATATTTTATCCCATTACCTCCATTTCCCAACATATATCCGCTTCGAGATTCGTTCTCATATTATCTCCCAATCCAATCCGATCCATACCTCTCCTCTCTTTTCATCATTTCAACCCTCAAACTTCATTTCAATCCATCCATTCATCCATCCATATCCATAATATGACGCTGATCAAACAGCCCACATCTTTCTCCATCTTTACTTTGTCTATCTCATCTTCCTGTAGCTTATCCCCATTCTCATCACCGCAATCGTAATCTTCATCCCTGTTCTCTTCCTCCCATCTCCTCACCTCACCCCTCCTTTTTGTCCCCCTCTTTCCTTTTCCTTCCCCCGTGCCCCTCAATCTCCCCTCCTCCCTCTTTCCATCTTCCCATCCCCCTCCCCCTCTCCCCATCC